TGATTGGTGATTCTCAACTTGTTCCAAGATCTTTCTTATTCGACATTGATGAAGATAAAACACTAAGTGCATCCGACTTCTCTCTTTCTGTTTATCATGATTTAAACATGAATCAACTGTCATGCACAATCAATGCATCACTTGACTTATTCAATAGAGAGACAGTGGAGAAGATTTCACAACGATTTCATTTCTTCGTAAATCAGTTATCTGCATCTGTGATTGACAGCCAAATGAATAAATCAATCTATGAAATATCATTAACATTACCAAATGAACAGTATCTGATGCAATCAATGAATAATACACAAATATCATATTCATCTTCTCCTTTCACTTGTATTCATCATGAGTTTGTATATCAAGTAGTGAAACATCCACAAAAACTAGCAGTTGAACTAGATGAACAATCATTGACATATTGTGAACTTTTTGCTTATGTTCAGATGTTAGCTGTCCATCTTTTAGATGAATATGGTATCATTCCAAGTGAAGTTATCTCGCAATGTGTGGAACGGAGTCTATCTATGGTGAGTTAACCGTTGAAATAAATATTGATCTTATATAAAATATTGATATTGATTAGATCATTGGCATGATGGCAATTGAGATGGCTGGTGGTATATATTTTCCATTGTCATTTCGAGATCCAGTAAATCGTCTGCATATGCTTTTACAACAAACACAAAGTCGTCTTATTCTTTTCCATTATCTGACAAAAAATAAATTTAACGATATTATCACTATGTTAAACATTGATTTCATATTGGTTAATAATAGTTTATTTCAACATATTAATATTGATCAATTATCATCTGTTCATGTGACTATCAATAACATAGCCTACATTATATTTACAAGTGGTTCGACAGGAATGCCAAAAGGGGTGAGCATTGAATTTGCTGTAAAACTAAGACACAATAAATGAAATAAATGGGTTATATGAGAAAGAGATTAATTCTTTATTGCTTTCATTAGCCGTTTTTGTAGGAGATCGAATTGTTTTAAAATATGTTGATATATTATTTACCAATAGAGGAGATTATATGTTTACAGTATATGATGATCTGTTTGTTTATAGGTTCAAGTTCGACATAGGAATTTCTTTCAATGTATCTATTCTCTAGTGTGTATTGATTCATTTACTAACAATGATACAGTGATTCAAATGGCAAGATGTTCGTTCGACAATCACATTCAAGAAATTATTGGTTCATTGATAATTGGAGCTACAATAATCATGCTTCATCCAAGAGGAACTGTTGAATTGAACTATCTTGCTGAAATCATGAGAAACAAACAAGTTACTTATATGCACTCTGTACCAAGTTTACTTGGCAACTTTTTCACTTTCCTTAAACAGAATAATTGTTTACATTTTGTAAAATATCTCAGATCACTTTGTACTATCGGTCAGTAACCATCATATGAACTATATAGTCTTGTATGATGCTCTCTTATTTTTTAGGTGAGCCATGTTCTATCAAGTTAGCCAATTTAATCCTCGCAGATCCTACACAGCATTTTATTTTTTGGAATTGGTATGGTTTAACCGAAACTACTGTTATTTGTACTTTCTATCCCGTAAACATTAAAGTCAATACAGACAGTATTCCAATAGGACGTTCATTTCCTAATTATCGCCATTTGCTTTTGGATAATTTCCTACAATCTGTCATTATTAACCAAGAAGGTGAATTACTTATAGGAGGTGTAGGTATTTTTGCAGGTTATCTTGGTCGTGATGATTTGACAAATAGAGGACTAATTGAAATTGATGGTGAACTATTTTATCGAACAGGTGATCTTGTTCGAATGGATTATAATGGACTTCTTTATTGTGTCGGTCGAAAGGATTTTCAAATTAAATTACACGGACAACGAATTGAACTTGGTGAAATCGAAAGATGTTTACTTAACATTACATCCATCTCTGCTTGTGTTGTCATGAAATGGAATGATGACCATCTAGTTGCTTATGTTCAATCTTCTTCTCATATGAATGAAGAACAACTACGTCAACATTCTCAATCTTATCTTCCACCACATATGATACCATCAATATTTATTATTCTTGACAAATTACCTTTAAACCAAAATGGAAAAGTTGATCGAAAACTTCTTCCTTCACCTCACTTCTCATCTATACATCTCGCAAACAATATCAAACTATTACTACCAACAAATGATATTGAAGTTAGTGTTCATCACATTTGGTGTGATATACTAAAACAAAAACAAATCTCAGTCGATAAAGACATCTTCAGTATCGGTGGTCATTCACTTGTTATTATGAAATTACTTCATCGATATAAAGTAGAATTTCATTTAGAGAATAGTTCTCTTTTAATTACTGATCTATTTCAACGTCCAACCATTATTGATCATGCTAAAGTTATTCATCAAATCAGCAACATCAAACAGAATATTCACGATTGTCGATGGCTTTCTTTATATCTTACTCAAGGTAAAACAACTTTTCATAGTTTTCTGAAAATAATATTTTATTTCTTCGTTTCAGCTCCAGTATCTTATGCTCAGGAACGTATTTTCTTAGATGAGCAAATCCGATTTTCGCCAGCTGATAATAATACTAACATATATGTTATTCCATTAATTTATCGTCTTCTATCTGTGAATGATCATATATCAATTTCACGACTACAACATGCATTTCAAAGTGTTATCACAAAACATACTATTCTTCGAACAGCACTTTATCTTGATATCGATGGTGTCATTGTACAAGATTGTCAAAACGCGAGTGTTCCGATTGATGATATCGAAACATATAGATGCTCAATAGTAAATATTTCTGATGATGACCATGGAAAAAATGAAATTGTGAGGAAAATACTAAATCAAGCTGATTTATTTGATTTATCAAAAGGACATGTTATCAATTGTCATATTCTTCGTCAATATCAGTCTAATCATTCATTCACCCACAATAACAATCTTTTAACTAAAGATGATCTAATACTATTTACCATTCATCATGCAATGTTTGATGGAACATCAGTATCAATCTTCGCTCGTGATCTTTCTCTTGCTTATCAATCTGATGACGCATTATTTATGGAAGATAACTCGCTGGAATATATGGATTATTCTGTTCATGAGCATATCATGGATATGTCATTATCTCGTGAATTCTGGCATTCTCAACTTAAAAGATACAATATCGAATGTTCATTATCATTACCAGTTGATCGACAACGTTCATCAATTGATCATCAACGATCAGGGTTAGCTTCTTCAGCTCAAATCACTTTTGATAATGAAATATGTGCATTATTTCTAAACTATGCATCATCACATCATCTCACACTTTTTCAACTTGGAATATCTGTATTCTATATCTTCCTTTACAAATTAACTCATGGTCAAACTGATCTATGTATTGGTTCTATTAATGCTAATCGATACCGAAGTGAATTAGTGAACATGATTGGAATGTTTGTATCAACATTACCATATCGTTTAGAAATCGATTCTCATTGGTCATTTGATGAAGTAGTTAAACATGTACGAGAGAAATGTTTATCAATTCTTGAACATTCTCATTATCCATTACAACATATTCTTGGTGACAATCGATTAAATCAATCGAATATATCGTTTCTTGAGACAATGTTTGATTTTATTACTGTGTCAGAAGATATGGGATATTTATGTTTGAGTGATGCAAATTTAGAACGAATATCATTAGAACAATCAGCTGAAGTGTCGAAATTTGACTTCTCATTAACATTTGAATACAATCCATTATCAGATAACAAGAGATTATCATGTGGTTTTGTTTGTTCACATGATCTGTTTGAAAAATCAACTATTTCAAAAATGGCTCAAAGATTTCAGTATATGTTTGAGCAACTGTTTCAAACACAATCAAAGAACATTCCTGCGATGAATGTGAGTTCATCGATTAATAAACTATCTCTTATTCTTCTTGAGGAAGCTGAAGAAATGGAATCAATCATGTTTCATCGACTGCAGAATATTATGAATGAAGGTATGATTGTATGCAGTTTGTTTTATTTTTTTTATAAAAGTAGTAGACAGTTAAATCAGTAATGAGAAATATGCATTAACGTATATTACGATACACAGACATAGTATTTCCAGTTTTTGCATGAGTCCTGGTAGAATAAATAATGAGAAAATAGGCATTCGAGGAAGGTGTGTTGGTTAATAACACAGGTTGTCTTTTTCTAGTGCAATAGTTTTGTAACTGTGAAGGAGAGATTGACGACGACGCAGAAAGTAGGTTGGAGTCGATCTTATCAATAAGTTGTTCGGAAGAACCTCTTAAAGGTTCTTTCAATTTTTTCTTTTCGTTTGAACTCTGGATACATCTGGATGCTTTTGAAAATCTACAGAAGCTTTTCGAGAGATTCTGCAAGCGTCCTTTGTTTTTTTTCCAGAGTAGTAGAATCTTTCATAAGCCTACTTGTGTATAGACGGGCATTATCTCAGACCTAAGATACGCTCGTAAATTTCATACCAGAAAACAAATTCTGTTTAGTTAGAAAGGCGACCAAATGAAAGTTGACTAGAATATTGGTATAAAACATCATTTACCCCATCCGCTCTTTACATTTTTATTTATTAAGCACTCATTATTCTAGCACCGGCATCATTTGCACAAGCTCTACTATGGCATAATGAATCTATTTATTTTACTCCTAACATATCACAAGTGCCAATCCACAACATGCCTTTTGTTTATTCTCTCCACTCACATCATACATTATCAGTACAGCATCTTCATCATGCTCTTCAACAAATTGCCATAAAACATGAATCTCTTCGAACATCACTCATCTTTCACACAGAAAACAATCGAGTCATACAAAAAATCATCGAATTCAACCAAAATCACAATACATTATTTACATTTGTTGAAAGCACTTATACAACACATGAGCAACTCAGTGATATTATGCATGAAGAAAGACATAATCCTCAACTTTTTGATCTTGCTCAAGGTCTTGTCTTTCGATGTCACCTTGTTTACTACAAACAAATCTCTTTAGAGCACCTTCTTTCTGACAAAGATCTGATTATTTTCAATTTTCATCACGGTTTATTTGATTTCCTATCAATGAAAGTATTTCTTCAGGGCCTCAGTCAAGCATATACAACAGGCCAATTATTATATAACAATAACACTCTTCTACGTTACCTTGATTGTAAATATAAACAGTTCTTATCTATTTTCTAATACAGTATTTTCTTTAATTACATAATAGATGCTGTTATTGAACAACAAATGGCAATGACTGGTGCAAGCATGTTTTGGCTTGATGCTCTTCATGATTGTAAACTTGATCAGCCTTTATCATTACCATTTGATCGATATCGTCTCTCAAATGAACATCGAACTGGCCGTGAAACATCTATTTCATTTGATTTTGGTCAAGATCTTTCACGTGATTTTCTTACTCATGCATCATCAAACAACATATCACCTGAACATCTCACATTTACTATTTATTTCATCTTTCTATTTAGATTAACCAATGGACAAACAGATCTATGTCTAGCTATGAACATTCATAATAATCGATATAGAGATGAACTCAAATCAATCATTGGACTGTTTGAGAATGTCATTCCATTACGATGTCAATTAGATCCACACTGGTGTTTTCATCAGTTACTCGAACATGTTCGAGAGGTAACAACA